TAATTAATTATTAAAAATCGTTGTCTTAGGCCGGCCTACCGCCCAATTCGAGCGCGTGGCAAGATGTGACCGCCCGGCGATCGATATTGCTATGCGCACATCTCGCCATGCGCTCGAATTGCGCGGTAGGCCGGCTTAAGACAACGATTTTTAATAATTAATTACTCGTTAACTATTACGAAAATTGCAAAATGGTACAGGACTTTTCCATTCATCTCGATCCGTTCTACCTTCTCAAAAATTTTGTCGGATATGGAAAGACTCACCCTGTAGATAGAATAGCTAATTGCGATTTTTAGATACGCGGGGTAAAATTCGTAAAAGATTAGAGTTGCGAACAATCCAAAGAATTCGAATACTAATTGTGGGCCCCAAGATGGGTTGCTAACTCTCTCTTTTTTCCCCAGAGTACATACAGCCTGAAACTTCAGTGATTTGTAAAGATGAGAGAAATGCTGATAAAAATGCAGGTCCGGGCATTAATGAATAAGACCGTACGTCGGATCCCCGTCGAATCAAACGTCCCGCGAACACGACGTGCCAAAGCATTCTCGCGGAAACTCGCGAAACTCGCGCGGCGATGCATGCCGCGAAATTCCACGCTCGTGCACAACGCGATAATGCAACGTATCATGAAATCGGTTACTCCGCTTGGGCGCCCGCACCTCGCTGTCGCCGTCATTGTTCCGCTCGCGCTCACGCGTTTCTCTATCCGCCTACAGGAGAGAGAGAACCTTGAGAGCCTACGTGCACCTCCGTGTGTCGTTAATATTTCAGGGTTATCGGACAGCACGACGTCGCGCCGCGCCGGCAGCATGCATTTTGCGCGAGCGACGCGTGTTTGCACCGCTCCGCAATGCCCCGCTCGGGAAAATCTCCGTCGTGTATCGTTGAACCGTAGTATAACTCCGTAGGTCCACTCCGTCAGTTGTTTCGTTTCGCGTCGATCTCTTTTGCGCATCCGACATTTTGTTGGTCCAGCCAAAGAGAGAAAAGTTGTATGTGCGGTAGTGTGGCTTTGATACACTACCACACATACGACTATAGTACGTACATACACATACGCCGTTGGACCTGAACCAAAGACATGGCGGAATACCACGTGGTCGGGACCGCAAAGATCAAAGGGGCCGACAGAGAGTGGACCTACTAGTTACACTATGGTTGATCCGTGACAACCCGACTGCAAGCACGGCGGGCTGGCGTCAGTCAGGTACTTTGCTGCGCCTGACACGGACGGCTCTCCAGGAAGGGAGACCGAGAGGCAAACTTTTAAATTTTCCTTCCGTGAGAGAAGATATTTTGCGCCGTAAGAATAATTCACGAAACAGTAATCTAATCGGCCTGTACGCGGAACTGTATTTGCATATTCGAGAAATGGATTTCAACTACAAAGCGCCCTCAATTCACAATCTCTCCATTTAATGGAGCACGTTCTTTGAATGGTAAAGTCGATCTTTTCTGCGAAACTTTAAAATTGTCAGTATAAACTATCTTAAGGGCGCAATTAGATTTAAAATTATATTTCTGCTGAAGCAAATTTCATTTGAGATAAACTGAAAGGGAGATTTTTTTGTTCTCCAACTCGTTCGGTCCACGTCCTTGAAACTTTGTTCGCCGATTTTGCGTCCGTAGCGGAAAGTTGCAAGGATATTTACTCTTAAAAATTTCAACCAGTGATGACGTCTCCTTAAATTTGTTTCCGATAAAAAGGAAACCCGATTCCGAGCTTACCAACAAATGCGTCATTTAGCACAGGGCAAAAATTTGCGTCTCGCGCATGATATCGATAAAATGATGAATTTTTACTATATTGAAATTCGATTGCAATCAAGATAACGAAATTTCGAAGCTAATTCAATTTATAGAATGAACTTTATTGCTTCGCTTGTATAAAGCTGGCGGAACGAGCGGTCGTCGTTCAGATATATCGAAATAATCCGGAGGGAGAACTGAGCGCGCGTGTAACAAAATGCTGAAATTGCGTGTCCGCGATTCGGACGCACGCGGATTCGCGGAAATACGAATTTTCAAGCGTAATCGAATCCCTCACTCCCCCCCCCCCCTCCCCCGCCCCGGCCACGCTGTGCATATGTCAAGCATGTGAATTTGTCCGCGCGACACCCCCCCGCCGTTGTCCTACGGAGACAGGGAGAAATCCCGCCGAGGGAGCCGGAGAAGTTGAAGACGTGTCGCGCGACACGGGGATACCGATGCTAAGCGTCAATAGACGGAATCATTTTATATGCCTCCCTCGCCCCCCCCCCTGCCCGCCTCCGCCGCCACGAACGAGCTTCTCGTCACTCCCTTGCAAATCGAAAACGTTCAATTCCTCGTGCTCCTCGACCCATCTTCGCTACTCTCGTGGGAACTTGGCGTACGAGTAGTATTGATCATTCCCAGGCTGCAGCCCCCTTCTTCCTTCCCCGCCTCCCCGGCCCCCGGCGTCCTCCGACCGTCATTCCGCGTCCTCCGACCTCCGATCTCTGACCTCCGACCTCTGTACCTAAATTTACCCCCTTCCCCTCCCCCCTACCCCACGGGCTGCATCGCGCCCCTCTGTCCTTGCCCCCCGGGCTTTCCGCGTTGCGATATTACATTCGATGCACTTTTTCAGTGGAAACCCGCGTCTCTCCGTGTCGCTGAGTCCGAGTTTCGAAAGGGGGACGTGTAACAAGATTTTTTAACGCACCAAACGGCATTTTACAGCGTCACTTGCGATGAAACAAGATTTTCCTTCTGCAGATTTCGACTTTGATTGAAATCAATTAAGCGAAATAAATAAATACTTATTGTAAAATTTGATAATGGCTATTTGTTACATCGAGTATCACAAAAATATCGTAAGAGTATTATTAGAACATAGATAAATT